CAACTATGGACTAAAAATGTGAGACAAAATTATCTTCTTGCCCTTTAAGTTGAGAATGTTGCATATTTTTGTTCCACTGACCAAGACAATAGTGTTAGATTCTGTCCTGGGTGCTGTGATAGGATGATCGTATCCCATTTCAGTAAAGGATTGTTTTCCTAGCCACTGTGAGTACCTCCTAAAGATGGCCCCAGCTACCAGGCCCCTCTAAGGACTGCCCCAAAGGAAGAAAACTGCCTGGTCCTCAGTCTTTCCTGTAGCGGTAGCCTATATCTACTGGTCAGTCCACTGGTACGAAGGCTTGGCTCCCTCATCTGCCCTGGGAAACCTCTGAAGAATCACTGGACTCCAGAATTCCCTATGGGATTGGCTGAAGCCTCTTCTTGGATAGCAGCTCAGCTTCTCTCTGCCTGATCCTGCCTCCTCCCCTTTTTAAAGTATTGAACTCAAGTGTACTCTCCTGTGAACTCTCCACATCAGCATGTGCTTCTTGGGGAGCCCAGCATGCAGCAGAAGTTTCTTCCACTTGTTTTCTGCCTGGTTGCTATGGCATTGTGAGCAGGCCCAAGCTCATCTCTTCCTTCATTCTATCCCCAAACAAGTGGTGGGTGAAACTAAGACTCTGATGTCCTATTGACGGAATAAAATTTTATTTTTAATGCAAAATAAAACAAGGAAACTTCATATACTCATATATAACAATATCCAAAATGTTTTTTGTTGTACAAATGAGATCATCTTTTAAAGTTTGTAAAGAATTTACTCTCCATGCCAGTATGCTAAAATATGATTTCATGTAATTTAAATGTATGAACAGACTTGGTATCATAAAAGCATAGGAAACACTAGAAAAAGTGTTGGTATAAACAACAGGTTTTATGTTCTGATAGTAAACAGCACATTAGATGGAACAGAATATTTTGTGAGGAACTCAGTCTGGAGGTGGACTAGAGTCTTTGGGTTGACTTCCCACTCTGAACTTAGTATCCTAGCCCATCTTCAAAAGCCAGGTCCTGTGTGATTCTCTAGCATTTAAGGACATGAGGGACAGTTTCACTTAGAGGTTGTAGCTGCATGTGAGATGGGCTTATTTTAGATTTTTTTTGTGTGTGGGGGGAGGTGACTTTGTAAAGATATCTTATGGAGTCTGGTCTTTCTAGTCTCATTGTAGTGTTGTTTCCACTTAAGTCGCCATGAACTGAGAGGGCAGAGAAATACCACTGTGGCTGTTTCTGAATCCAAGTCCCTCTTATCTAAGTTGCATGAAGTCTGGACTCCCTGTCGCTCAAGGACTCTGTAAGCAATAGGCTGTCTACCCAATTTAACACCATTTGGAAGGCCACTCATTGTGGATATCAGAGCTTAATGCCCATGGGGATCTGACACATAGAAATTCCTTTGCATACAAACACTCCAGAATTGCTCTGATGTTCCTCCAAAGAAAGTGAATGCTATGGTTACAGTTTAAGGACAATAAATACTCTTTGTAGGTTTGATCTCTGTGCATCCCAGGGAAAAGAGAAATGCATTTCTTGATACCCCGAGAGTTATCAAAAGGTACATTTAGTTCATGACTCTTTAGGAGAGATAATGGATCTTGTTTTAATTTTATTTAGTTGGTAGCAAAAATAAGGCTACAGTGATGTCTCATATCTCCTTTATGTGGAAGAAAACCTGGGGCTTCCTCCACAGTGGTAGTGGGTGGGTCTCTGTATCCTTACCATATTCTTTATTGTATGACCTTTCTCCATGGCATCCATTGGGGTCAACATATATGTACCTGAAAGCCTAAGAATATCTTTGCAATATTTTTTCTAGTAAGTCATAATTTAAATAAATGTTCATGCTTTTGAGTTTGCCTTTCACTCAATGATTTGATATTGCAGACAAACAATATTAAATTAAGAGGCATAGTGCCATAGCCCAATGGTATAATAAGTTAATGAGATGTTGTTTCTCTCTCTTATGGAAGACCGAATTTTCCTGCATCTCAAGGTTTTATGTATCCATTCTCTTTCATCTTTCTATTCCTGCAAAAGGGAGAAAAATATGGTTCCTTAAAAAAAATCTAATGACTTGAGGCCAAACATCATTTTGAGGCCCAAATGATCCAGTTGGTCAGGTCCATGTTGATGTGATCACTTCTCTATTCCAGGAGAGCTACTATAGTTCCAAGCTGCAAGGAGACTCTAGAGTTTTCCCAGGCCATACATACACTGGGAACTGTTTCCTGCTCATAAGCACCTATTGGTTACAGCCTGGAATTCTAAATGTTCTGAACAACCTGCTCTCCCAAACACTGGGAAAGTGCCCTGTAACCTCTGGGAGGTAACAATTAGAGGGTTAGTACACAGGCATTTATAAAGTTACAGCTCAGCTGTCTTAAATGTTGCTTGGCTGGATAGAGCCTCTGTCACAAATATAATAGTAGTTTCTTTAGGGTAGGTTCAGATGGAACATACCTTATGCTTCAAGCAAGAAAAGAAAACATAATCTATTATTTTTTGTTCACTTTGATAGTACCTTACCTCACTGACTGCCCTTCAAAATTAGCAGTTATTTTGTTCACTGTGCATACAACACAAAGCCATGCTCTGGAGGGCCTGGATGCAGGGCATTTGTGTGTCCAAGGAGGCAGCACTGGAGGTGATCATGGGTGTTCTTCCTGCAGGGGCCACTTCTGCAAGATCAGAGTGTACCCCCAGTTACCTCTCAAGGAACCTATCCTTAATCCAGAAGAAGCTTTGTGGTGTGCAGATGTCACATAGTTTACAGAAATTTGACTTGTTTTTTTTGGGGGGTGGGTAACGGGGATCGAACTCAGGACCTCATGGTTGCAAGGTAGGCGCAGTGCCACTGAGCTAAATCCCTGGCCCGGATTTGTTGATTTTTAATGCTTCAAAGCAGGTTAAATTTCCTTCATCTTATGATTTTCTTCCTTGAAGATCATGTACCATAAAGAAAAGGCAACATCCAGCATGTTGGCAGGGGAACCCCGCACACACTGTGTTCCACCTGCAGGTGAGCAGGACCTAACACCCTCAACAAGCTGTGGATGATTTGAAAGCATCTGGCTCAAGAGAGATGAGAAAAACCAAAACCAACTTCACAGTCCTTTTTCAGAAGACCATTGAGATTGTGGTTTAGAAAACGATGTCTCTCAAAGTCTAGTAAATAATACTATTTACATCTAAAATCAGCAGTTGCATCATTCTTGGTAACAAAACTCTATTTTAAATTAAAAAAAGACTAAACTGGGCCCGTTGGATACTCTATGTATTCAATAATACAATTTATTAAATCCTGCCAGTTAGAATTATCCTACTCTCAGACAAAATATGTCTAGATTAAACTCTAGATTTTTTGGGGGAGGGAATAAAGAGGGGAAAAGGAATGTGAAAAAGCTTGAAGTATTTTCACAGTCGCTGAGCCATGCAAACTGCTGCTCCCAGGCCTTGTTGCTTCTCAGTCTTTTGCTTGTGTTTTCATTTCCATCAGCCTGTAAGATTTAGATGTTCTGTTTCCATAGAAAATGGCTGCAAAGCTCAAAAGAAACTGGGATGGGTTCATTCTACTCAAGTGTTTAAGAAGCTGGGGTTTCAGTTTTTCCAAGCTGCCTGACCTTCCTTTCTCTGTTGGAGACTTTGTCCTTGCCCTGAGTTTTGTTAATGAAACATAGCAGATGCAGACTGATTTAATCTTATGCCTCTTCTTCCCTTTCCTCGTCAACCTTTCTAGAACACATTTTTATTTTTCATATTAGTAATCATCATTTCTGTATACACACACACACACACACACACACACACGCACACGCACGCACTCACTTCCATCTACTACATGCTGGTGATCAGTTTCCAAAGGTCACAGTCAGCTCTTCACTGTCCCCAAGTGCAGATGGGCACTGTTTGGCACTGAGTCCAGAATTGGCAAACCTAGGGCCTTGCTTCCGGTGCAACCTTACCAGCAGAGGGCTTTTTATCCCAAGAACATTTGAGTTCTCAAGTGGGAGTCTTAAAATAGAGGCCTCAATTAAAATAATTATAGGCAAGAGTTTTGGGGATGAACCTGGGACCAGCTGTCTCCAAGCTCTCATGTCTGGGATGTGGGAGGAAGGAAGGTAAGGACCACAGGAGTGTCGAACACCTTTACCAGGTCACCGCAGTCCATGGGATACATTCCTTCTGGAGGCTCTGAGTAGCTCTGCACATTCTCCCAGGACACTAATATTGTGTTCACTTTTTTTTTTTACTGACTTTTATATCAAAAAAGGAAGGAAACAACTGAAATGTTTACATCAAATGAGTGGAATCAGGAACCTGAGAGACTATAAATAAAGAAATACAGTCTTCCTCTGGGTATAAAAAATTTCACGCAAGTCACTAGTCATGTTTGCTGTTGCTTTTTTCTCAATGATAAAACTGTACTTACTACAATGCCCAGATTTGCAGGCTGTCTACTCTGTCATTCTGCAGGGTTTTAAATTTTTTTAAATTTATTTTTGATGGCAGCAAAGTTTTATTGAATGTGGGAAAAGAAATAGGCTCTGCAGAGCGAGTGCAGGCTAAGTAAGAGTGGGAAAAGAAACATGCTTTGTGGTGTGAAGGTGGGCTACCTTGGAAGAGTGACACTGGCCCATCTGTGGTCTTGACAGCTGCACCAAGGGGGCTGTGGCCGAGCCCTGGAATGGTGATACTGACTGCCTGGCAGAGGCTGCTCTGCAGTGGCAGCTCTATGGCGGGCAGGGACACATGAACACAGGTTATCTAGCCAGGGAGGCACGGCATGGTTTATCTCCATCTTTAATTGTTGTTCAGTTCACTCGTACTGGCTGGCCAATTCTGGAAGACTTTCAAGTATCAGGAAGTACTGTATTTTATGATCTTATTCTTTCTATTTCTTCTGAATCTACCTCCTGTTCCTTCTTTTCCTGTCTGATTAGCCATCAAGTGTTGCAACCTCAGTGAGAAAAAGCCAATCTGTACCATGGAGAATTCCTAATGAGGAGAAGGCCTTGAGGTGTAGGAAGTGCAAAGTGGCTTCAGACCTCTTCCTTGCTGAGTGAGGTCTTGGTGATGTTCAGCTATACGGCTGCAGTCATGGGGTTCTTCTGCCGGGGATCCTGGGTTCGGTAGGGGTGCTGGTCGGGGCTGCCCCCTCGTGGCCCTGCTCTGCCCATTTCCTGATAGGCTAGCACTCTTTGGTGCTGAGGAGGAGAAGGTGGAACGTCTTGTCGGAAGGGTCCTTTGTGCTGGGGGACTGGTGGGGGTGGGTAGTACTGAGGGTACCGGAGATCTGTCACCCTCAGATCTGGGGGGCAGGCATAGCCCCCTTTTGAAGGGTGGGCAGGATGAGCCCCTGGGTAATATGGAAGCTCCCTTTCCTTGTAGAGCCCTCGAGGCGCTGCTGTCAGATAGTCCACAGGGTCTGCAGGTCCCCCCCTGGAAAGAGAAGAGACACATGTCAGCAGTTACTATGCCATTGGCTGCCTAGCTAAAGACCAAGCTCTCAGCCTCCCATGCAGTTAGTTGTGGTTGTAGACCAGGCCTGGCCAATGGGATGTGAGTAGAAGTGATGTGTGCCCTTAAACACAAGAGGGAACCTTCTACCTTATTCTTTGCTTTTGGCCACTGGAGCAGCCAAGCTAGACCTCAAGGTGAAAACTACTGGCTGAAGAAGAAAGAGTGTGGGAGCCTGAGCCCTCAGCTCCACGAGGCCACCATGTCAGTAAGTACTGCCTATGCATAGATTGGTACGTGCGAGAGAAACACACTTCTTGATTATACCCTCTTATGCTGGCCTGTATCATAGTAGCTGAGCTAGTTCCCCCAACAAGGCAATGAGTTTGGTTCTCTTAAGCCTGGACCCAGGTTTAAGATGGATCCCCATCCCTTCATAGTCTCTCTGAAGCTTGTCCTGGATATGGTTTCAGAAAGGTAGAGGTCACCTGGAGTCACACAGTCCCTGTGCACATTATGTGCTTTCCTCCCAGACCTCAGAGTAGCTCACTGAGTGGGCTGTGGCCTAATTCTGCTTGGCTGCTGTCATACTGCTGTGATGATTAGTGTATCTTTCTCTCCACAGTTTCTAGAAAAAGTCCCAACCTAGGCTTGGCAAGCTCCCCCCAGAACTCTGACGTAATGATTTATACACAAGTTGAGAAGTATCACCAGGCCAGTAGCACAGTGGGAAAAATCAAAACAGCTGAACACTGCCCTGTGTAAGGGACAGGGCAAGAATAAACACTAACAGGAAGTGACCCCATCTGGATCTTTCTACTGAAGACAACAAGCATCTTCTGATCTGCTTGCAATAGCAGAGGCAATGTGTTTCTAGACAGTGTGCAGATGATGCATCTCGTCTAGCCTGGGGCTAAACACAGAACTTCTGTTTGCAGTTCTCAAAACCCCATGAACCTTCTGTGTCCATATTTGCCACCATCATTCACCATCAAGTCCCTGAATCCTTCCACTTGTCCCTTCCCCCTTTTGATTTTTTTAAAAAAGAAAACAGCAACAATAATAATTAATGAAAAACTCTCCAATGTCAGAATAAAAACTGCTAGGACACTTAAAAGAATGACAGTGTCTGTGGTTAATCGGGCACTGTGAATGAGGGTCAAAATCACCCTGTACCATGCAGAGCTGGATGTTAAATCAGCTCTCCATGTTCGCCAAATCAATGGAGATTGGACGAGCTTGAGCTGGAGTGTGCGTGGCAGGCGGCCTGTGAACTGATCCATGAGGATGAACAATAGAATTCACTCTCTACTCTTTTTGTGTCTTAATTTGGCTATGTATAATAATGAGAGATAGATCCTCAGGCTCAGAGTAATTTAGTTAGTGAGAGTTTTCAGATAAAAAAATTAAATTGTTTGCGTACAAGTTATTATAGCATCAGCTGCTATTATTCAGTGCAGTTTGCTTTGCTCTCTTTTAAATTGCCCATGACAAATAGAGCACAAATATATCATCTGTCATTGCAGCCTTGGCAAATAAAGGATACAGTTTTCACCTTCTTTTTCCTTGGGAATTTCACTTTTGATTTAGAAAACTTCCAGCACTCCTGTATCTTTTATGGTAAGACTTTTTAACCCCCGACCCAACTCGACTATGCTCATTTCTATTTCCTTTTGGCTCATGTTAGAGATTTCACAAACACTTTAAAAAAAATCCTTAACCTGTGCTTTCTCTCAAATCTACTGAAAATATTTCTGTACAAAGTGAAACATGTGGTTTTTCTGTACTCATTTAAGCCCTTAGGATAAATCACTGACATTTGCAACATACAAACATTATCTGCCTTAAAATGAACATACAGCCATCTCTCCCTCTGGACTCTCTTAGTATGAATGTTTCCTGTTTAAAAGGGGAAGAGAGAAAGGAGGAATTCCAGGCCTTGGATTTTTAGGGTCCTGGTCTCTCTCTAGAGATTCCTGTCTTTTAAAACAGAACATTATAAAAGACAGGCATGCTTTTTTTCTTTTTAATTTTTGGAGAGACAATCCAGATCAAGTGCTGACAGGTGGGGCAGAAGCCACCCTGAGCGACTTTGACTGCACAGTCCATACACGTGGGGGACGGTGGCTATCTTGTCTCGCACACCTCATCCTCCCACAAATCCAACTCTCACTGTAAGGAGGAAGGAGGGAGATTTTCCCATGGGCAGATAGGGTGACCTCAAGAGAGCTCTGTGGTCCCAGATGGCTTCTTCTGAGGGAAGATTTTAGGTCTGGGAGTTTGCTTATGTGTGGCAGAAACCCAGAGAGGTAGTTGCTCTTTGTCAAGAAATGAGACAATTGAAGTCATTTATTTGTGTAGAATTCACTATAACAGTTATAATTTTTAAATTTTTCTGAGAGAAGAACAAGAATGAGTCAGTCTATATGAACACTGTTTCAAGTTCAAAGAGTTCTATAGGATTTCTTTTTCTTTGGAGGGTAGTTATTGCGTTGTTTATAACTTTTTTTTTCAAGACAGCATTTCCTACAAACTTTTGTCAGAATAACTTCTGAGTTCCTGTGGATATTATGTGCATGTATGATGTGTGTGCCTGCATGGATACACATTCACACATGCATATTTAAAAGAACAATTTTTAAACAGAAAAAAAGAAATCCACTTATTCACTACAGCCCTTGATAAAGGAGGAAGAAAGGGCAGCTGACATTTTTGCTTTGTTTTTTTTAAGTTTCTCTTTTTATAGTCGCTTTGTGTTATATTTAGTGTTTGTAAAAAGCACAAATCTAGCCTATTCTGGGGCTATGCAATGCTTATCACAGTGAATGATGCCACTTGCTTTAAGTCAACTCTGAGAAATCCTGGGGAAGCTTCCTCAGGAGATTCTGATTTAGATAAGACCCAAATAGCAAATGTATCACTGCTTCATGACTCCTCCTTTTTCATGTGACCTCACGAGTCTTATTTGTATGTTATTATTTTTCTTAAAATAATTTTCCTATTTAAAATCTTACACAGAAACCATATTTATTTGAGGAAAGAGAAATAAATATACATATTTTTCTTTATAATTCTTTAAAGTGATTGTTTTGAAAATACCTTTTGAGTTTTTTGCTTTATTTTATTTCTGAAGAGGCTCATTTCTAAGAGTCAGAAGAGTTAAGATTTTGCTTTGAAAATTCCTAGGAAATGTCCCAGACATATAGTTTTTTTATCATATGGCTACGCACAGTAATGAAAGTGAACCGTTAAGCCTGAGAATGACAAAGCAGTAGGTTATTCACATATAAAGAAACAAGAAACATCACTTTCTTTACATGAGGTCCTCCTCTTTTAACCAATTTAGCTGTTAATGTTTCCCAAGAAGCATAAAAGGAGCTGGAAATCAGAGGCTAAGCTGGTCAGACAGCCAGCCTCTTGGTATTGACATCTCTGTTTTATGGAAGGAAGGAAGATGTGCCTTATGTCTGCTGAGACATTCTTGTCTGTAGAAAGGGCTCAGTATCCAGAGGACAGAATGACTGGTAGAACTTTCGCCAGGGACAAAGTGGCTGCACTCTATGGAGTAGAGGACGGGGCATGAGCACTGCTGAATCCTTCCATCTCTGCATCACCTGCTTCATCATCAACTGCAAAGAAAGTCTTTGGTCTGCGTTCACTGCAGCCAGTCATTCCCACCTCATGTGTCCTTCACCCAATCTTGCGCTACTTGCATACTTCATGGAGCAGGGGCATGGGAAGGAAGGTACTGTCTCATTCATCTAGTAATCTCTCCTGGGGTTCAGCGCGGAGCTCTGCATCCCATAGGTGTTTCATAAATATAGGCTGAGTTTGCTCAAGAAAAAAGCCACAAACATACACAGCAACCCTAGAGGGTGAAACGTGGGTGAGGCCGGGGGTGAGGAGAGAAATAGAAGGAGGAAGTGGACTCACTGGGATCTGGAGATTGATAATGGTTCAAGTAGCCAGATTTCTATTTTTTGCAGAAGAAAGGAGGTTTGGGGAAATGGTGGCTGAGTAAATTCTTGGATTGAGTCCAACACTGAAAGACTGTAAACTTTCTATTAGAGTAGAGGTTACTTGTTCATCAAAAACAAGATTATACTGTCTTATCTCTGTTGCTTTGCAGAGTACTTGAAACATAGTAGGTATTCAATAAATTTTTCATTAGAATTTAATTGCCTTGATTTATCAGGGAGGTCAGTATGTTTAATGACGCTTAGCAAATTGAGTTATCTTGACTCAAAATTAGCTATAAACTAGGCTTACTAAATGAAGCGTAGGTATATTTATTCACTAATCAGTTGAGGAATATTTTAATATTCTTGCAAGGAATTTTCTTGCTTCTGTCATAAACACAGAAATCTAGCAGCGTCTGTGTATGTGTTTCCAAAGAATGGTATAGGGCTTCACATAAAGGATGTTAGGGAAACACTGACAAATTCAGGTATGGTTGCAGACATAGTTTAAAGTACCAGGCTTGAGGGTTGATAATAGGAAACCACAGGTGGAGGTGATGTCCAGTGCCCCCAACCCCAGCATCAACCCACCTCTTCTCTATGAGAATACAAATGATGGATGGCTTTCATATAAGCCTCTCATGTCAGGGAGAGGTAGAAACTAAGATTACGCAAACTTTTTTTTATCATCTACTGTAATTCAGTGCCCTTTCCTCCCAACTCAAGAAAGAATAAGGGAATTCATGAGAGGAGGAAAACTTGAGTCTTCCACAATTTATTAGGAGAAATATTTATAAGCTTTAGTTCTTCAAGTCTCACTGACAAATCTTTGCAATACAGAGCTTATCACGATCACCTAGCTATCTCAAGGCTGGGTTTAAGAACTGTGGCTGTATCTCATTTAATGATCTTCATTTAGGAGAAAGGATAGATGAAGCTGAAAAGGTGAAGCATGAAGCATGTCATGATTTATATCTAGATGTCCCCCCAAAGGCTTGTGCATGGGGCTTTGGGAGGCGACTG